TGTAGAAAGTCAACATGGCTAGTTCCGCTGATGACATTGTTAAGACGACACATCGAAAAGGCTATCGCCGTACTGATCCGAGTGAATACATAATTTCTATAAAAACTTGAAAAAACGCCGTCATAAGGTCTAAAATAGCGTAGCGCCCGCGTCGATTAAAAGCGCTTAGAAATTGTCAGAGTCTTAAAATATATTTTTTTTAAATTATTGATTTAAGTAATCAAAATAATGAGCAAGTAAATTATGTATCAGTAATCATTTATTGATTAACGACGAACAAAGAACGAACCAAAAGTTACATCAATAAACGATTATTAAAATTTTTTAAATAGCTATAATTTTTGAAAGCGTCGCTCGATTATAACTTACTTGGCGGAATTTGACGCAGTTTTTCAAGTACAAAAACTAACTGTGATGTCTGGAGTTGATTTGTAGACCGACCGATTGACAAAATCTAATCCGTATCGCTCACCTCGATCGGTTGATTCGTTCTAAAAAAATCGTACGACAAAATTTAATTTACATACAATTTAAACACACACACAAAAAACACACACACACACAATGGTCGAACGTCCAGCCGGAAATAATCGGAACAGCTTCCTAGAACCTGAAAACGTAGAGATCTGATGAAAACTAGCAGTCTTAAAGTCGGACCGAAATCCATAACTTTAACGAAGTTGAAAATTACTGCCATATTACTTTCTCAATATTAACTAAGTAACTACTTGAGAATGGCACAGATACGACGAAAATGATACGACAAAAAGTACCTCAATTATTTTCGCACAAAAAATCTTTACGTCTATACATGCCAGTCGACCAGACAATCGATTTACCCCGATTACGCAATGATACTGTGTCACAACACGCGGTAACAATCAAGCCGTCTAAAAGTTGCGCGATACTTCACTAATAGCAGTGAAGGAACGACATTTTGTTGTCCATAAACGCTGTTCCAGAGCTACATTCGTTCATTATAAGTAACGGTTTATTTAGGGTTAGGATCTTTCTGCTGACGGCATAAGGGAAACAAGTTCTTAGGTCTCGTGAATTTCATGCCTATTAAAACCTATAAAGTCTAGTGATCTTGGACTATTGGTGGCACGGCACAAATACAAAGATTAGCGGACATTATACCATACATAATGTGATTATACGTTACATACATTCTAAACATTACACTTAAGGAACCGAATAAGTGCGAATAAGACTGAGATAATCTGAGAGCTCCCTATAAACTTAATTATGTACTGTTTTGATAAGTGAGTTTGCGAGAATCATGTCGATACTTGCAAACTCATGGGTCGGTTCAGCCAGATAAGGACCACGCTCTCACGGAATATCAGCATAAATCAGCAGCTTAATGCTGCTGCATTTCCTATCGAAGCTAGGGAACCGGAGACCCTTTTTATCGGATACGTGGCTTTCATCTTAGTCCTCAGAGGTAACAACGCATCTGGATTTTGATTGTTAATCGAGGGTAGATGCAGATGTCTATTGGCCACAGCATTCAATTACCATCAGGTGGACTGTGTGCTTGTTTGCCACCCATATTTAGTGACATAAATGACCGAATCTCTTGATTGCGTTGACTTAGAAGCTTGAATTTTTGCACCTCTATGGATTGTAGATCTTAGATTTGTTATAAATTTCAACTTGATACATCTAACCCTTCTTGACAAAAAAGATTGTAGTCTTAGTTTTAGGGAAACCCTAACAACAATCAAACCGACCTTGCTCGAGCTAGCGCTCCAGAATCTTATGTCTGAATTTCTCAATTTTAGAAAAGATTTAAAAAAAATTAAACCATTAAATTTAAAAAAGCTAATCGTCTAGTTGATGCTAAATAGCTATTGCAATCTATAGAAACCCGAAATGCACTTCAAACAAAGAAAGTCACAGATACGGTATCTCTGAGAAATAAGATGTAGTAAGCCACACTTATAATTATACGAACACTCCATAAGAATCAAATCGCAATACAACAGCGGGCTCGCTGATACTTTGCAGCTGAAATAGAAAAGAGAAAATAGTGCCAATCAATCTAGATGGTATTTAATTAAACAACCTAGCAGATGATTTTTACTATCTTTTTATAAGACTTTCGTTAGTTCATCACTATTATCAAGTTCTATTGTAAATATACACATAATATATAAAACCGAATATTTTATTGATTTGAAAGTTTGGCCAAGTATCTCGGAAATACTGAGACTGCGAGCCAAAAATCTTTATTTCAAGTGCACCTATTTCAAACAGAACTTAATTTGGAATACATCCAAAATCACCAATAAAGCTGCATCGTAGTTTTACCAGCGTCCCATAAAAATAAAAGTTGAGTGTACATCATGGCCCTCAAAAGGCAAAAACGTAGCCTTCTTTGTGTGTAGGAAACAGTGACCATTTGGTGGACTGTTTAGTCCTTTATCACTTTAGTGTCCTTCTTCATCAGACCAGCCCCAGATTTTGGCAGCCATTGTGGCAGAGCCACTGTGCAGCAATATTATGGCACGAATGGATCGGCTCAAACGGAGAAGGACCACGTTGTCACAGAATAAAATGCAATAAAAATAGCAGCTTAATACTGCTGTGTTTCGTATGGTGAGTGTCAAGAACCGGACTTACTGAAAATGAGGCATTCCATCTTTGTCCTCAGGGGTAACAACGCATCTGCATTTTGATTCTTAATTAAAAATAAATGAATGTATATGTCTATGTACCACAGCATCTACTTATCACCAGTTGAACTGTGTGACCCTTATTCTAAAAAAAAAATTAAGTCCAAAGCTAGATATGAGTTCTCTCTACGTTGTTACCCTAGGACCTGAGGACTAAGATGGAACGCCTCGTTTCCAGTAAAAATGGTTCTCCGGATCTCTACACTCACCATACGAAACACAGCAGCAATAAGCTGCCATTTTACGCTGGTATTCTGAGAATTCTGAGAGAGCGTGGTCCTTCCCCGGTCGAGCCGACCCATTCGTGCTACAACCATAATATAGCTGCAGCGTGGCTCTAAAAAATTGATGATCGTAGGTGGATTGATGATCGTAGTACAAGACGTAGTTTTACGTGGTAGAGCCATGCTGCAGTTATATTAGTAGTATAGTTGTAGCACGAATGGGTCGGCTCGAACGGGGAAGGACCACGCTCTCACAGAATACCAGCGTAAAATAGTAGCTTAATGCTGCTGTGTTTCGTATGGTGAGTGCAGAGAACCGGAGACCCTTTTTACTGGAAACGAGGCATTCCATCTTAGTCCTCACGGGTGACAACGCATCTGCATTTTGATTCGTAATCGAGAATAGATGTAGATGTCTATGGGCCACAGCAACCACTTACCATCAGGTGGACTGTGTGCTCGTTTGTCACCCTATCCTACGAAAAAAAAGACCTCTAGAATCTTGGAGGCTACTGTCCGTCGCACGTCTGAATATTTTACATCCGATGTAAACGTGATTGTATACCACCATCCAGCGGATGCCGTAAGATTTTTTTGACATATCTCATAGACACCTCTTACGATACTCATTTGAAGATTTTTACTTTTCTTTATCCTTTTCCAGTGAACTAAGTAATATCACAAGCTCAAAGCAACAAATAAAATGATGTCATCTAATTTATTTCTATTTTATTATAAACTTCACGCCTATTATTCCACCCTTAAGTGTGGATTTTTTCAAATTTATATGGGACCACTCTTAATTTTTAAATTTATTTTATTTTATTTTCTTGAAGAATAATTATATAATATAAAAAGAATAAACTAATTTAACATTCTGAAGTGGGTGCTAAAACGGTGTATAAAAGAATTAACGACCCGGCGATTAAAACTGTATCCCCTTCAGCTGATTTTCAGGCAATTAAGTCACATTCACAGGGCACCAAACCAAATCTGTAGAAAGGGTGACCCAAAAACTTAACCGGTGCGTTGTCCCAGGAAGTCACTCGTTTTCAGCGCTAAGTAGGTACGTGGGTGTATTGTTATGATGATGCATGTGCGAAGATTTTTTTTTATAGAAGAGGGGGAAAACGAGCATGCGGCTCACCTGATGGTAAGTGACTACCGCCGCCCATGATCAACCGCAACACCAGGGAAATTGGAGATGCGTTGCCGGCCCTTTAGAATGGAGTAAGCTCTTTTCTTGAAGGTCCCTAAGTCGTATTGGTCCGGAAAAATCGCCGGTGGTAAACAATTCCACAGAGAAGTTTAGGCCATATAATAAAAGAACTATTTAATTTATTTTATTATGGCCTATTTAAAAAAATATCATGACAATTAGCGAAGATAGTGCGTAACAAAATAGGTACAGTCGAATTACGAACGTCCTTTTTTTCATTTGGCTAAAATCTGTTCCCAAATCGAGTGATTACCCCGTAAGGGCTTTTGATTGGCTAACTTAAGAAGTTGCAGCCGGATACCGGTGTGGTTGTTTTTTAGGAATGGCTAAGCAACTTTCAGAGGCCATAATATTTTTTTTAAGATATAAGGGTGCACATGATGCAAAGTGGATATTACGACCCATAGACAGCTACTTATTTATTCTGTGCAGCTACTACAAAAAACAAAATGCATATACGACCGTCTATTATACTAAACAGTAACATAATATTACTATTTTACGCTAGTGTTCTGTGAGACCGTGGCGTGGTCCTTTCCCAGTCGAGACCTTACAAGATCTATTTTATAAAGCCAATAGGACCTAGCGAAGAATGTCTACAGTTGTTAATTTATTTATTATGAGTATTCAATATTTTTCGTTTGATGTTCCCGTTTACGACATTGACGTAGAATCTGTCCTTCGTTTGGTAGCTGTTAAATTTTAAATGTATTTTTTCTTCAAAAATGTATATATTTGACCTCATAGCTATAATTTATAGATTTATTAAATATATCCTGTAAAAAAACTAAAATTGCATTGTGTTTTGTGCATATTTGGCTTAAATTCTCCAGTTATTATTCAGAAAAGTGTAATCACATTCCTCTTTCAAAAGCATTATGTTGCTATAACATAAACATCTATACATACCTGTGTCGTATTGAAGCGACGACTCCCGGATCGACTGAGGGTGCCTCCTCTCACATTGCTGTCTGACAGCTCCACCTCGACACCATCAGCCGCACGTCTCCTTGACAACTCGCACAGTTCTGCTATTGGTTGTACCTGTATATAATATGCGTTTCCTTTATCCATTATTTTAACTTCCTTTTTATCTGTTATTTAGTGTAAACGCAAAGACCATTGATGTTAAGCCACAATAGCACACGGATACCTACTTCCATAATTCTAACAAATGTGAAAACATAGTTGAGTTGTCAGTTCCGAGGACCAAAGTAAAATGGCTCATTACTAGCAGGCCATACTTCAAATGAATAATATCCATTAATACGAGTATCATTCAATAATAAACGACTATGTCTTGTTCGTAGATAAAATTTTAACTGTATATATTTGTCTTTGCTAAACTTATCAATTACTCGCTACATCCAAGAAAACAGTTAGTTAGCTATTAAGCGATATCAACTTAAAAAGGAGGTGATTAAGCCCAAAACTATCTACGCCTTGATGGTAAGAGTAAGGAATCCATCACATTAGCGGGTTTTAGGTAGTATTAGACTAGGAAATTTCACGTATTTTTCGATGGATCTATACGTGGATTTATATGTGGTAGAGCCATGCTGCAGCTATGTTACTGGTATAGTTGTTGCACGAATGGGTCGGCTCGACCGGGGAAGGACCACGCTCTCATAGAATACCAGCGTAAAATAGCAGCTTAACGCTGCTGTGTTTCGTATGGTGAATGTAGAGAACCGGAGCCCCTTTTTACTGGAAACGAGGCAATCCATATTAGTCCTCACGGGTGACAACGCATCTGCATTTCGATTCGTAATCGAGGATAGATGTAGCCACTTACCATCAGGTGGGACTGTGTGCTCGTTTGTCACCCTTCTCCTATAAAATATATTAAAACACACCTACTCACTCATAAACTCACGATTGTCATCCTTTTTAATTTTTGACAGATATTATAATTTATGAGTATTTATATTTTATTTATTTACGTGTTACCAAAATAAATTAATAATACTAGTTTTTACGGAATTTATCGCGTATATTTAACTTTTTAAATACCCGACGTTTCGAACGCTTTACAGCACTCATGGTCACGGGCGGGACTAAGATGTTCAACGTCCATATGTCATAGTTAACCGCGGTTACCATAGATTAAAATTTAACTTTTGTTCTGATCTATACAGTATGAACTTATGGTATCTTGAAGTCTTGCAGTTGTATGCTTGGGTTGGGATTTAATTTTATTTATTATAGGATCCCAAGCAGATGGTAGCACCCAGCCATCTTCTCTATTGAAATTAGGATGTTTTTTGATTTCAATAGCCTCGCGAATCATCCTTGTAAGGAATCGGTGTTCTTTAGCGAGGATTTGCGGTCTATCAAATCTGATGTAGTGACGGGGGCGATCCTGTACGTGTTCAAAGACTGCAGACTTCCCGGAGCGTCGATTCTTCACATCAGCTATATGTTCTTTAACGCGGGTTTTTATTGATCTTTTAGTTTGTCCTATGTAGGAGAGACCACATTCACAATCAAGCTTGTACACTCCTGCATCTTGCAGAGGGACATTAAATTTGACTGATGGTAAAAACTGACCAATCTTCTTCAGCGGCTTGAAGTATGTTTTGATGGAAGCACGCTTCAAGATGTAGCCAATCTTGTCAGTGACTCCTCTAACATATGGCAGTACAGCAGGTACACGCTCGACTGTGGCCACTGTGGCTTCACTCGGGACTCGAAGCTTGTTGTCATGCAAAACTTGCTTGACATGGTGGAGCTCGGCAGCCAGGTGTTTACTGTCACAGATCCCTCGTGCTCTCTGAAACAAAGATTTACCCACGGTAGCTAACTGTGAAGGATGGTGGTGAGAATCACCGTTTAAATATCTATCTGTATGGGTCTTTTTTCTATACACAGTATGGCTCAAGGTGTTATCAGGATTCCGAATTACTAACACATCTAGAAAAGCTAAGGAATTGTTTGCCTCTAACTCCTTTGTGAACTGAATTTTAGAATTTATAGAGTTAAGATGGTCTAAAAATGCAGTTACTTTATCTAAAGGTAGAATTGTGAAAGTGTCGTCTACGTACCGCTTGTAGAATCTTGGGTTTATGGGAGAACTAAGCAGGGCTTTCTCCTCAAAGTCTTCCATGAATATGTCAGCGACAATGGGAGATACAGGTGAGCCCATCGCCACACCATCTACGTGCTTGTAGAACTCCTCCTTCCACAATAGGTAGCCAGATGTAAGGCAGTGTCTGAGTAATACTGCATATTCTACGGGCATGTTTTCCTCCAGCCTTCTAGTTACAATTGAGATGCAGTCTTCAACAGGTAAGCATGTAAACAATGACTGTACATCAAAACTGACCATAGTTTCATTGTATGCCAGATGTAGGTCTTTAATCTCGCTGACAAAATGGTAGAAATTCTTTATGTGTGCTCTTGTATGTCCCCTGAGCGGTGAGAGTATTTTCGCTAAGTGTTGAGCCAATCTGTAAGTTGGTGAATCGATTTGGCTCACTATAGGACGTAATGGAGCATTGGACTTGTGTATTTTTGGTAACCTATACAATTTTGGTGATTTGGCGCACGTAGGTATTATCCATTTTTCGTCCAGATTTAATTTTTCGGAGTGTTTCTTTATGAGGTTACTAGTTGTTTTTAGTGTGCTATTTGTTGGGTCGTTTTTAACCTTTTTTATAAGTACTTACATCCGACAAAAGTTCTTGTATTTTAGAATTATAATCTGACGTATCCATGACTACCGTGGCGTTTCCCTTATCTGCGCAGAGAATCGTAAGTTCTGGTTTATTGCGTAGGTTCTTTAACGCTATAAATTCGTCATTGGGAAGATTCGGTTTAGGCACTAAACATCGACGTAACATAGACGAAATGTCTGGACGTATCGCCTCCAAATCTTCTTTCCGCATATTGTTTTTAAATAAACAGTCCTCGACACTACAGATAATTTCTTCGTACGGTAATTTGTGGAAAGAAGATTTGGAGGCGATACGTCAAGACATTTCGTCTATGTTACGATGATGTTTAGTGCCTAAATTAAATAGAAGGCTGGAAGAAAACAACATGCCCGTATAATATGCAGTATTACTCAGACACTGCCTTACATCTGGCTACCTATTGTGGAAGGAGGAGTTCTACAAGCAAGTAGATGGTGTGGCGATGGGCTCACCTGTATCTCCCATTGTCGCCGACATATTCATGGAAGACTTTGAGGAGAAAGCCCTGCTTAGTTCTCCCATAAATCCAAGATTCTACAAGCGGTACGTAGACGACACTTTCACAATTCTACCTTTAGATAAAGTAACTGCATTTTTAGACCATCTTAACTCTATAAATTCTAAAATTCAGTTCACAATGGAGTTAGAGGCAAACAATTCCTTAGCTTTTCTAGATGTGTTAGTAATTCGGAATCCTGATAACACCTTGAGCCATACTGTGTATAGAAAAAAGACCCATACAGATAGATATTTAAACGGTGATTCTCACCACCATCCTTCACAATTAGCTACCGTGGGTAAATCTTTGTTTCAGAGAGCACGAGGGATCTGTGACAGTAAACACCTGGCTGCCGAGCTCCACCATGTCAAGCAAGTTTTGCATGACAACAAGCTTCGAGTCCCGCGTCTACGTCACAGTGAACGAGTGAAGCCGGCCACAGTCGAGCGTGTACCTGCTGTACTGCCATATGTTAGAGGAGTCACTGACAAGATTGGCTACATCTTGAAGCGCGCTTCCATCAAAACATACTTCAAGCCGCAGAAAAAGATTGGTCAGTTTTTACCATCTGTCAAATGTAATGTCCCTCTGCAAGATGAGGAGTGTAAAGCTAGATTGTGAATGTAGTCTCTCCTACATAGGAAAACTAAAGATAATAAACCCGGATTGGATGTGAAGTGTGGTCTTAGAGGAGGTAAACCTATGGGTCCCATCTTTGGGATTTTTTTATCCAACCCAAGCAAACAACTGCAAGACTTCAAGATACCATAAGTTCATACTGTATAGATCGGAACAAAAGTTAAATTTCAATCTATGGTAACCGCGGTTAATTATGACATATGGACGTTGAACATCTGAGTCCCGCCCGTGACCATGAGTGCTGTAAAGCGTTCGAAACGTCGGGTATTTAAAAAGTTAAATATACGCGATAAATTCCGTAAAAACTAGTATTATTTTAATGTGTAGTGTTCGCGTAAATATAAGTAATCATTACAAAATAAATTACTCTAGTATACCTAAATATTTCTATAGACAATACTAGGTATTAAACATAATTAAATTGAATATTTACTTTTATTATTAAAGTGAGAGTAGATAAGAAAATTGACTGCAATTATTGTCCGGTAGCACGTGGTATAATTAATTATTCTTTATTTCACTTCTATGTGGCCTCACCGCCTGACCGGTGAGGCCACATAGAAGTGAAATAAAAATTAATTGCTTTTGTTATGTAATGCAATAGTAAAATAGGTACTTTTTTTGTAGCATTGGGTAACAAACGAGCACACAGTCCACCTGATAGCAAGTGGATGCTGTGGCCTATAGGCATCTACATTTATCCTCAATTAAGAAACAAAATGAAAAATGCGTTGTCGCCCCTGAGGACTAAGACGGAACGCGTCGATTCCAGTAAAAAGGGTCTCCGATTCTTCACACTTACCATTCGAAACACAGAAGCATTACGCTGCTATTTTACGCTGGTATTCTGAGACAGTTTGGTTCTGCCCCGGTTGAGCCGACCCATTCGTGCTACAACTATAATATAGCTGCAGCGTGGCTCTACCAGGTACAAAATCATTCATTAGGCTTATAGAAAAAATACTTTGCTTCTCCCTATAAGATTTTTGCATACAAACTGTTAAAATCGCAGTGGATTTGCACTCCAGTGAATTTTGTACCTAAATTAAAACAATTTATTCATTAAGTTAAAAAACATATTGTTAACCACTAAGTGAATTACAATAACGCTAACGTGAAGAATATTAATAATAGAACAAATCGTTTAAAACCCAGGTCAGCGGTTAACGGTACATTTTCCCCGTGAAAAGCAACCAACACGCTGAATTATTTAATTAATAAATACAACGTAACTAACGATCTATTAAAAACCAATCAATCTTTCTTAAAACATCAACATTTTAAGGTCGTCGGCCACACAGCCACATCTATAATGGAAATATATTGATTTATTATTTCTTAGATAAACAAACACGTCAAAATAAGTAAAATTCTAGGTTTATAGCCTTACGGTATTCTTAGCTTTAAATAAAAGATTTATTGATTTAAGATCATCACTGCAGCCTATCACGAATCCACTGATAAAAATTAAAAATATGCTTCTCCTAAAAGTCGGCCATGATACACCTCCAACCTTCATGTCTTATTAGATCGTCTCTCCATCTAGCGGGAAACCGCATGCACTAACCTGTACTTTCTTCAGTTCTAGGCGGCGAGAGATTGCGCATCATTGGCCCAAGAAGCAAAAGAAGGTCCGAAGGTTGGAGAAAGGATTGACCTAATGCGTAGGCGTGATTGTGCCGTCAGCCCCAAAAGGGGGAGAATTGACGCCAATTTGGGTCAAGAAATAGACGAAATAATATGTATGGACAAGGAAGTTTACGCGGGAATGAGGCCTATGTAAATACCGTGAGCATCTTCCGAGATTCGGCCCAGATAACTGCGGGGTTAGTGGGACGAGGAGGGTTATCCGCCAGTGTTTGACTTCATTAGACGGAATTGTCAAACTAATCATTTAGAGTTAATGTGCTATTAGATGGCATGTAGTGTCGGCGTAAGATAATCTACTACCTATTTCATCCCGTTGATGTAGTAGGAGGCGACAGAGGGAAATTAAACAGGATATGGGCAGCAGCATCTTCGAAATAACAACGGAAAATAATTTAAAAAACTGCGGTTGCCAGTTCGCCTACCAAGCGTGGCAACTATGGCACATATCCCCCCTATGAGGTAATCTATGAGGGTAGTCTGTGTACAGCAGTAAAACTTTGATAGGCTATAAAGATGAATTAACTAATAAGATATAAACCTAATTTTAAAAGAATGCTCACCTTAACGGTAACAGAATCTTGACTCCCCTTGATTAGTTCAATCACTTCTTCTCTACTCTTTCCCTCTACGTTTACTCCGTTCACTTCGATAAGTCTATCACCAGGAAGTAGTCCCGTCTCACTCGCTCCTGGATAAGAACCGGGCTCAGCAAGAATCACAGCCTTATGTGTCAACTTGGAAATCATAAAATTACCGTTGCATTTGCCCTCACCGTTAGTGAGACCGTTTTCTTCATGACCATTCAATTCTTTAACGTCACCTATAAAAACTCGCTCTTGTACCATAGCGCGTCGAAGGCTAAATCCGAAGTCGTTTCGGGGTGCTTTCTGCCTTTGTATAGTCAGTACTCTGGGTTTTGGTAATTGCAACGGCTTTAGTGCGGGTAAAGGCAAGTACACATCGTCGAACGTACTTGTTCTTGACCATCTATGAAAGCCTTGAGATTCACCTACTGGTGAGGTGGAGAATGGTGGAGTAGCAAACGACGAGTTTGTTGTTGTATCGGTCAAGGAATCAGCGCTTGGTGACGTCGAAGTCACGCCTTGATAGCAATTGCCATTTGTCTTTGGTATATCATCAACGTCTTGAGTAGTGATTGAGGGATTTGGGTTATTTTTATAGTTCTTATATTGATTTTCTACCGGACTATGAATTACTTTTTTGGTAAAGTTTTGTATTTGTTGCATATCGTCACTAGACGAGGTGCTTTTAGACGGCGGGATTCTGTATGAAATCACTTCGTTTTGTTGCGTATTCCGAGCTACAACGTTCAAATCTTGGCCATTTATATGGTCAACTGTGTCAGTATTGTGAACGCTGTTCTCTTGTGAATTAGAACTAGTATTGCTCAGACGTGGACCTTTTAAGATGCCTCGTTTCGGTGGTCTCGGTGGTATAGGGGGTAGATTTTGCGCTTGTCGTGGACTGCTATTTACATTATTCGGGTTATTTAACGAATTTAAAGAAGTCTCCGAACTGTCTGATTGTAGAACCCCTTCCTTTTTGTTCCAATTATTATGCGGGGTCGGGTATCCGGGAGAAAGATGATTATTTTCGTCGCTGAGATTGGAATTGGAGCCTGAAGTTGAAATAATTGGATAACTCGAATAATTTGAATCCTGCTCAAGATGTGCAAATAACGAGGCAGTGTAGTCAGCTGTGATACCGGAAGGAAGTTTCTCCTTTTCCTTGCGTCTGCCTCTAAGTTTGAGAGATCGTCGGACCTGTAAACAATAAAAAGGTTATATTAGACAATTAATTTTAAGGTATAGAGTATTTTATCTAAATAACTCAGAAACTGTAAGTGATAATGACTGAACGTGACTTGCGGTGTGGACTAGGTATAAAACATGAAAGCAATTATTAATCCAGTTGCAAATGATTGCTCGAGTAAGTAAACAAGACAGACAGCTGACATCTAATCTCTAGAGAGCGTCCGGTTAAATCTGCAGTTGAAAACTTGTTTTATGTGTTAAAAATAGGAGTGAGTTTAGATTGATTGCGATTCAACTTTCAATTTCGCATCAAAGACGCAAAGAGACATATAACAGTAATGGAAACTGTGATGAAACCCGTCAAGTTCCTGTAATTGCAAAAAACCGCATTCCGTGGAAGCGTGCCACATCGGGCTATCCGCCAACGCTAATGAAAGTGTAGGCACAAATTATGTATTTAAAACAGGTTCCAGATTTATTCGCGTCGGCTGAATAACTTTGAGCTTTTTGCAGTGTCAATGCGCATACCGATTTAGTTTTTTGGGTAACTGGACATGTCGAGGAATCATTTACAGGTATATGTACTTACAACTGTTATAAAGACTTTAAAGTTAAATGAAATTAATTTTTACGGATTTTATCGCGTTTAATTTAATTTTTTAATTTCTAATTGGAACTTTCATTTAATGTGCAGTGTTCGCGTAAATATAAGACATGATTGATTACATTATTAAAGTAACTGCTAACTCGAATACTTATAACGCGTTATTAAAAATATGACTTTTTTTTGCTTTAATTAAGTTTTTTATACGTATAGATTACAAGCAAATATAAAAAATTGTTGTATTGTGGCGGACTACATATTTCGTTAGATTGATGAGAAATGACTTTTTTATAGAATAAGGGTGACAAACAAGCACCACAGTACACCCGTTGGTAAGTGGCTCCTGTGGCACGTAGTCTTTACATTTAACTTCGATTAAGAATCAAAATGTAAATGCGTTGTCACCCTTGAGGACTAAGATGGAATGCCACGAATCCAGTAAAACACGTCTCCAATTCTCTAAACTCACCATACGAAACACAGTAGCATTAAGCTACTATTTTACGCTGGTATTCTGTGAGAGCGTGGTCCTTCCCCGGTCGAGGAGACCTATTCGTGCTACAAATATACTACTAATATAACTGCAACATGGCTCTACCATGGAAAAATACATAAAGATTAAATATAAATGTGTACTATTTTCTCTTGAATTTCTTAAAAGTACTATATTTTTGCATCTTTTTTGGGAAAAATACTATATTTATTAAACAAATGGTGGCAACCCTAACGGTGACAGTGTAATTGACACTTCGGCGCAACGCGTGCGCCAGCATGCACAAACCTTACACTACACAATGTCCAATGTAGAATTGTAATATAAATAAAGTTACAACCTACAAGCAACCATCTCAGACTGCCAATGCTCCAGTGCAGGATGCTGGACATCGCATGTTATCGATATATTAATTTAATATCTTAGACAGGACAGACAAGAGAGATTAGACAGATGTCTAGAGACAGGTTCCCTCACAATTCAGCATGAGGTTTATTGGTACTACAAATAAGATTGCAACTATTGTACTAATTTCAGTGAAAAATGGCATAGAATTCAGGTTGTTCTACTTACGACTTTTTATTTATATGACTTTACCACATACATTACGTGAATGGACTCAATGCCTGAGAGATTCTCTACCAGTCACAAAGTAAAAATAAATATAAATTTAAGCTTCAACATATAAACTCATTAAAATATATTCATAAATTTTTAATATAAATTTAAAAAAACACTGTGTGTACACCACAACACCGACTGTATAGAGTTGAAAAGAGGGTATGTAAGTCAATTTCTAACTATAATAGCAGTCAGGGGTGTTCCCTGTCCTTTTTTGAATAATAATTTTCTTGTGAATTTTCATAATAAGGAACAAAATAAAATATCCTCAATTAATATTTAACAATGTAGATTTAAAACAGAAGATAGCTGTACTAACTAGTTAGTAAATGCAAACATCGTCTTATTATACTTGACAGGCTTCAATCAAATTGTTAATTTGATTTATATTAAAGTTTAATTATAGGTGTAAGAAACATTATTATTCATAAGAAAGCTATTTGCTATCATCTTCATCACAGCCCATCAGAAGTCCGCAGCTGATCGTACACATTTCCTGCTGCAAGGAATGCGACAAAGCACGGTCCTGAGCCACCTGCGTTTATCGAATTCCTGCATTTCTTACAGGTCATCACTCAATATATAATACCAATACTATGTCGCAATTGGTATATTCCTTAAGATTTTTATAGATTATAATCACCATCATTACTCCAGTCTATAGCTGTCGGTCCACTGCTGGTCATGGACCTTCACGTCTAGAAGGATTTTTTACGAATTTTATCGCGTTTAATTTTAATTATTTTTAATTCCCGACGTTTCGGGTGCTTTCCAGCACTCTAAGTCACGAGGGACTGAGATGACTGACGTCCCGATGTCATTGTTAAACCCGGAGTACCTTTAGCTTTTTAAATTATTGTTTATGGTCCGATCTATGCAAAATGAACTGACTGTTTCTTGAAGTCTTGCAGTGGTATGCTTGGGTTTAGTTATAATTTTATTGATTATAGGGTCCCACCAAGCAGGTGGTAGTACCCAGCCTCCTCTATTGAAATCAGGATGTTTTTTAATTTCAATAGCCTCACATATCATCCTTGGTAGGAATCGGTGTTCTTTCGCGAGGATTTGTGGTCTATCAAATCCGATGTAATGGTTGGGGCCGTCTAGGATATGAAATCTACCGAAATCTACATCTGGAATCTGCGTTGGCGGAGTAACCAGTTGTGACAGATCATATGCCAAGGCCAAATCATGATCAGATCTCCCCGCATGATCGGTTAAACGTGAACCACGCCATTCGGCGTGGTGGGCGTTAAAATCGCCAAGGATCATTATCTCTGCGGAGGCGATCTGCTGTAGCAACGAATCTGTAGCCATTTGAACGTGGTCGAAGAGTCGGTCTGTTTCGACATTACCGCTATGGGACATATAGAGGCACCCGTAGATGCGCGGATGGTCATCGCTGTCTACGCGTAGCCAAAGGATGGACATGTATGAACCTTCAAGACTGTCGACGCGTCGAGAACAGATGTCCTCTCTGACGTATACGCAAACTCCGAGACACAAAGGAGTGTTCCAGTTTGTACCCCGGGTAGGAGAGATACGATGCATCAGACGGAGAGGACACCTGCGTCTCGGTCAGAAAGAGCAGAGCCGGCCTCGCCGTCTCGAGATGGTAGTGGACGGCGTTTAGGTTAGAATGAAGTGCCTTGATATTGCAGAAATTCACGGATAACGTGGTAGGGGTAATCTTGGTCTTGGTGCTCAGCTTGCCCCGAGCAGTTGTTGTCTTGTGCGAAATTTTGCCCCCCCCCCCCCCCCAGAATACGCGGGGCAGCCTGAACACCCACGCTCAGGAATGGAGTAACTTGGTGGTGGATGCTCAGCGAGAGATTCTCCAGGGTGCTGGTACCCTTCTGGGGTAGATCTTTACTTATTTTCGCTACCATGTTAAGGGGGGGGGGGAATGTGGCCTCCGGCCACCTACACTCACCAGACGAAACGCGGAAGCTGAGCTTGCACTTCACGCCGGTATTCTGTGAGGTAGTGGTAGAAAGAATCAGTCATGTTGAAGTTCATAAGGATTATTAATTAATATTCAACTTCTAAAACAGGTAGATTGTGGTGCAGAAAAACTAATTTTTCTGCACGACTGGGATCGACCGGGTTGCGCTTTTTTTTCGTAATACAAACCTGCCTCAGAAAATAGTATTTCTGAATAAACAGAGCTTGTTGGTATGACTTAGTATAGTTTAGCAAGTTTACTTAAAATTGGGAATCGATTCTTATTGGTACTCAAAGACAAAAATTCATATGGGTTTATACTCCTGTCAGCCTTTGCTAACCTGATGTAGTTGGCAATTTCATCAGCAATGGCATTATTGGGTTGCTCTTCATTAGGCTGCTCCGTTCTCGTAGATTTAGATTCTTCGAAACATGCCCAAAATAAGTCATGAGTTTCTGAAACGACATTTCTTCAACCCCCTTTTCATTGTCTAAGCGAGGTCTTTTGGACGCCATTTCTGGATCGGAATCATCAGTTTCGTCGTCACCGAACGAAAGTTTGATACCTTCTATGAGCGCAACTCTACGTACCCGATCAGCTTGGGCAGAGTCAAAGAAAAGTTCTTGTATCGGAGATTTAAAAATATTGACAAATATTATGTCTTTTTAGAGCACAGATCCTCCAAGTAAAAACGGGCTTCCATATTTTCTAATAACGTCTTTCTTAAATTATTGACATATTCAGTTTGTTGAATCAACGCATCTTCTTTAGGTATCTGGGTAATTAAAATAATCTCCCACTGGTCACTGGTCTAATTTTCAGATTTCACGCTTCTTGATTTTAAATTTTGTGTATTCCTTTTTATGTTGAATAATAATAGCGAGTATTCGATTATGCTACGAGGAATGGCGAGTAATCGGTATTCGACTCCTCGCCATAACAACTATTCGCGGCATCTCTGGTAAAAACACTAGTGAGGTTGACGTTATGTTCTCCATGCCAGGCATGCTGCAGCTATATTAAGGTTGTAGCACGGAGAGGTCGGCTCAACAGGGGAAGGACCACGCTCTCACAAAATATCAGCGTAAAATAACAGCTTAATACTGCTGTGCGTCATATGGTAAGTGTACAGAGCCGGAAACCCTTATTACTGGATACAAGACATTCCATCTTAGTCCTCAGAGTCAGGGGTGACAATGCATCTGCATTTTGATTCTTAATCGAGGATAATAATAGATGTCTTTGGGTCACAGCATCCATTTACCATCGGGTGGATTGTGTGCTTGCTTGTCACCCTTATTCTATATAAAAAAACTGTTACATAACCCTCTCAGTACCTAATGAGA